TGTCGTAGCGCAAAGAAAACCGCCACCATTCTGATAGAAACCACCAAATCCTCTGAGCTTATAGAAATTTTGAGTCGATGTCGAAGAATAACAAATAGTAAATATGGCCCATGTCGCCCTGCCGTGATGTGTATATGTGCGAAACTTGTTTCATGTAATGATTGTCAAGGATAGAAACCACGCGACTGGTACTTAGACTGGTACCCTTGAATGCAAAATTCGCTCCCTCCGAACAAAAGTTAGCGTCCGGAACAAAGTTTCGCAAAAACCAAAGATTATTGACTTAGCGTTACGGCGGCTGAGCCCGTCGAACGTGGCACTTGTGTTCACGAACTAGTTGGCAATCCCAGCTCCACCAGGCCTGTCAGTAATATATTCGCAATTAGGCTCACTTCCTTCTCCCCTCCCTCCCCCCCCCCCCCCTCCCCTCCGCGCCAACTCTCAGCTCTGTAGCTCACTGCTGGGTCAGACTGCGAGGCGAACGCGACGTATGCAACGTACGCCGCGTACGCTCCTATGATGAAATATATCGCGCGTACGCTGCGCAGGTCATGTACGCCCATACGCCGCACACTGTGGCTCAACCCTCAAGCTTTGCGAAAAAAAACGAGTATCAGTGTATGTATGTATATCTGTAAGTGTATCTGTGTGCAGAGCTCGGTTCGGCTCGGTTCAGAACTAATACAAAATATACGTACAGACACACATATACACATACAAGCATTCAGCTCCACAGATACAGATGATGAACGGTAATCCATGTCATAGAGAGCAACTGACCTATGTTGCACAAATCCAGACAATTCAAGGTGTTGGTAAAGCAGCGTATGCATTTCCGAATATGATATGACAGTTGTCAAATAGGCACCCCAGCTCCAAAAGTGGTTAGAGTACATGATTACGAAATAAAAACAGCCTCTAAGCATAAAGTGCAGTCAATGGCATGTACTATTCGGGCTATAATTATATACTTACAAGGAATGTCAGGTAACTTAGAATTGCGTGTTGAGATGAGACACATATATCTGGATTCAGCTTCAGACACTGATTTCAAATATGCTGTTCCTATTTGCGGCACGTCATTTTAAAGCGAGTTATCGATTTTCTTCCGTGCAAAATCTGTAGATTCTTTGACGTACTGGCATTACGGTCGCATCAGCCTAAGTGTTAATTGTCTGCATAAAGTTTATTGTCAATTAAAAAAGACTCGCCAGTATAATTTTAGTACCCCAGCACCGTCTTTAGGCAGATTTCCATCTACAGACACCCTTACCATATGGAAAAGTATGGCAGTTTAACATAAAAAGGGCTCATAAGTTCCTTCAAAATAACATAGGAACATCATATCTGGAATCAGCGTTCAAAGCTGGTTCGAAATATATGAGCTTCTCTCTAACCGCGACTAAGTTAACCTGACATCCTTTGTTAGAACTAGAACACATAATGATTATTGCTTGTCCACGAGATGTCGTAGAAATTTCGATAGCAATGGAAGATCTTTGATTATTTAGGATAATATTGACCTCTTACGAAATCTAAAAACAAGACACAAAAAGGAAAAAGCAAGAGTTAAACTACTTTTTTGGAAGCCTTTGACGCGGTTCTATACGATTTTAACCATATCAACACAGTGCGTTTTCAAAATATTGATAAAGGAAAACTTTCGTATGCCCTCAAATAAAGATCACCTCAAATTCATGGGCTTTGAAAAAAGCAAGAAAAATCGATCTATTTTCACAACGCCTAAGACATACTTCATGCGATTCTGCGCTGCGTCCACGCGACTTGACGATTTGTCAGATGCACAGATTGACCGTAGACGAATTTGCATGAGCGCATAGTTTTCTTTCGCAAGTTGTCACAAAACCCTCAAGTATCACACAACTAAGGCGTTGCTTATTTCTGATTATGAAGAGATATTGCAGTGTCAGATTGACTAGAATCGCATGAAGTATGCCTTGACCACACCTCACACGATTTAAGTTGCGACACCATGTGGTAATATACCAGATGAATTCAAATACTACAGTAGACCGCAAATGCATAGTTCTTATAACTTTTGTAGATTGATGAAATGTTTTATCATCTACACATTAGAATTTGCGCACGATGAGTTGTGGACAATTGGAGCATTGCCAATTACGTCACGACTGAAATCGCGTGAGATACGGTCAAGGCTTCAAGCCTAAAGCGCGCAATAGCATTTGAGAACAGTTGTTTTGACTGAAAATGCGTCAGGTTTCCGTTTTTCTTCCAATCTCGATAGTTTTGTAACAAAGCAGAGACGCATTTGGTGAACCGCTTTTATATAAGAAAACGGAGGCGAGATTACACAGTCAGTATGCATGAATTTTAAATGGTGGAGTGCGCTTACAGTATGAATATTTGTCGTTGACCATTGTTGAAAAAAGTTTACAAGTTTCGCACTGTTCAATGAAGCAATACTCTTCAATCAAAATTCCTCCAATACAGGTGCAAAATACATCAGTGGGCTATACACATAGTAGCACTACTGGTAGCTTTCGCAGGGCGAGTGAATAATTAAATTATTGTGGAGCTAGGTGGCCGGTGACAGCTGTCTCGCTAAATTGATTAGGCAGTGCTTAAGTTAAGTAGATTAGATTTAAACAAATTTGGTCAGCAACAATGTGTCATCCACATCATCTGTTTCACTCATAGCGTACGTCGCCTCAGTCTATATGGGTAGTTACACCATCATTGAGGTTTTAGCCGTTTTCGTGTACTAGAGCTGCATACGGCTTTTGCGATGATTATAAGCTCGACCCTGCTGTTCGATATAAGTTGAGAACGATACTCAAATGAACAAAATCTCAGATACGTCTGTTCTTTACATTTTTACCATATACTTCCAGCTCCCGCTGCCAATATAACGGGTGTCCCAAAAAAGTTTGCACTGTTTGGTCTGACCTTTGATAACTCTCTACAAAGTTTTCTGCTGACCTTTCTTTACCATTACGTATAGGCAGCTTTAACTTAGATGCTACGGAGCACTTCACCAATCGCTCTTCATTACTATAGATTTACATAGAAACTTCCAGCCTAGAACGGCATAGTGATAGTCGCCCTTTGAAGATTATTAGAAACAGGTATAGGTATATATGCATTCAGAGACAAATACAAGCGGTAAAGTACAAGTTTAACTTCAAAAATTGGAAACCCTAATTGGCTTAGTGCAGGTATTAGGTTGGAAACTAAGTTTTGCAACTCACTAAATAAACTTGCTCACATTCAATATAAAGCACTCAAATTTTGCCAATATGTTTTTTAATAACGTAAGCTACAAGCATAGCTGCTGTTCCACCAAATTCTAACGTCGCAGTGAGGATTACGGTAGGTATATGATATAAGAGGGAAGCAAATCATTACGGATTTGGCTAAGACTTGGCGTAAGAGCGTTTTCCGACATGCTGCTCGCGAATAACATGCTAAATTTGCAATATAAGCGTTTTTTAAAGATTGCTGTAGTTTAACGGTATGAGGTCTCACCTTAAACAATAGAACAGACTTTAGTTTAACAAACGAAAATGATATTCGTGTTTAGCAGGTTGAATAACCTCATTATGTGAACTCTCCGCTTATTTTGACGTTTCCACTCCTTAGACTTTGATGGTTGTCCCCACCAGCCTTGTGTACTTCAACTTTGTGAGGGCGCTACTACTACTACTACTACTACTGCTACTACTACTCGACTTGCCTTCCAAATCTATTCCTTTTCTACTTTTTCTACGACCTCCTACCTAAGTGATGACTAAAGTTCGAAGCGAAAGAGGGGGTTTACCAAGCCTGAAATTTGCTCCGAAAGTGGCCCGAATCTTACGGTGGTCCGGACGCCGCCCACACCGCAGTATTAATTTGCAAGACCAGAGCGCGTATAGCGCTCACAGTTATGAGCGCAGGGTCCCGCAACGACTCTGCGTCTCTACCTTGCAGCATTTCGTACTCGCTCGAGCCCACCATAAGATTCGGGCCACTTGGGGGGCGATTTGTAGATCGTAGACCCTCTTTCGCGCTGCAAACTTCTGTCGTCGTAGTTAGGGGTCTACTATTACATTATTACCAGAGTCAAGTACCCCCAGTCTGGTGGGACGCTGCCTTTGAAGTTTGTGAACCGTAGCCTTATACATATAAAGAGTGAGCCTGTAAGTAGCTTTGATATCATGTGGTAAGCATATAAAAAACTTTCCTATGCAACGTTTCAATGTTGTGGGTTACAAACTAACACAGTATACCTACCGTAAGCTCATTAAACAAAGTCCACCAGACGAGCCTTTCTTTGAAATTCATGTTAAATGTGTATTGATCAATATTTTCCATTTTCTTTTCGTCTACTTATGAAATTGCATCTTACAGGTATGTTACACCTTTATACTTCGCACAATTAAGAGGTTCAAGGATGAAAATGGTACTATTCACAACGAACACGGTCAAAGACATCGAGCTTTGAGTGTCGCAAATTCAAACTTTGGAAGAAAGTGAGCGCCTAAACAATACAATTATTTTTGGAATAATTTTTCTTTTCGTTTTAGGATTCAAGCTGTAGGCCGGCATAAGTATATTTATGTGATTGGAACAGTATTAATAGTGGATTTGTTATTTCTCTGCCCGTACTCAGGAATTCAGCTAGTCGCTTTTCTACACATCAATCATTTGATAGAGATTACTCATAGCAGCACTTTGATACGTTGGTGGCTACAGGTTGGTTATGACTATCTTAGAAACAATACAGGGACTCAAAATTTTCAAAATCAAAAATCAGCTCTATAGTTGCTGCACAATATCTGTTACTGCTTCTCATTGAATCCAAAAATCATTAGTCAAAGGATTGAGTGATGAGACATATGCTAATTTTTTTTACGCTTTTTACTGCCATTCCAATTTTTGTTCGAATAATTTGGTTACAAAAAAAATCAAATGCGTGGCACCACTTCCAGGTTTTGATTGGTGTGCATTCTGTCTGTCAACCATTGTGTTACTTCCGAATGACGGAGTTTCGACGATTGGCTTGCTGTGTAACTCGTCCGTGGAGTTCGAAAAGCTGCTCGGTGCTTAATAAAAGCTTTGGTGTGTTTGCTTTTTCACTCAACCTTCTACATTACAAATCCCTATTTTTAGTAAATACCCGATCTGTCATAAGAGATGACGAGTTGTTAGATCCAATGGATTCACCGCAAATCAGGGAACCTTTGCTAAATATGACGCATGACTCTGTTGGTTCGCTTTGCTCTCCTACAAGGAATCTATGTTTATATGGGAGTTTAGATTGTAAACTCGGTATCTGCGCAAGCATGGTCTCGACAAGAGCTCACTCGGTTGCGAACAACGGGAAACAGTGCGCAGGTACGTATAGTCTATTCCCAGACGAAGGCGGATGCCCGCATAAGGTAGGCACGCGACCGCGTTCGCGCACGCTGCGCAAGTGCAAGCATCCGCTTTCGTCCAGAGCTAGACCCTACAAGATTTGTTGCTATAGAATCTCGTTCACCAAACATCCTTTTCAGATCATCAAGGAAGATCAAGTGGACTTCGTCGATGCGGATATTGAAATGGGTGCTGTAAAAAAGAAGTCGGCCGCCTTTTGAAATTTTTGCAAGAAATTTATTCCCTGTGCTCTCTTCGCGTATTCTGTGCATTTTCCATAGAAAAGCCAAACTTGAATTTATTATTGGCTTTCCGGGCTTTCCAGCGTTTGTAAAATTCGCATAAAAATACGGCTGATAATCATTTTGTCTATTTTTTGACTTTCTGTAAATACGCTATAAAATAAAATGAAGTGAAGATTACTAATGCGTTTTTTCACATGGTTGACATGAACTGAGAATGAAAGTAGGATGCTGTGGCTAACGGTGCAATAGAATATTGCTCAAGAATTTCAAGTAAAATTTCCTGCTTGAATCTAATACGTCAGTACAGATCTCACTCAAAGGATCACTTTTCATCAAAAAAAAAAAATGGTAGGCATTTATGTTTTTTCTGTCTCTGCTGCCATTCTCAACCGAGGAAACGCATTCAGTATTTTTTATGTACACGTACAGTATCCCTACCATGTGCAACTAGCGTTAAGATGTGAGTAAATGCTAGCAACAGCAATTCGCCTCGTTATCCGTAAGAATCTGAGAAATTTGCGAAAACTCAATAGATACCATACCTAACGTTCAGGACAGCCTGTCCTGGGCAGGCTATGGCAGCTCTATGAATAAAGACTTGCGCCATGTCAAGTTGAGCAAAGGTATCCCGTTTATCGTCCGGAAAGTACGGAAAAAAGGCAAACTTAGGAAGCTGCGGTCTTGAAGAATCAAAGGCAGCGTCCACCCAGATTCACAAAAAAACCGATTCCTGGGGGCCCTGTCTTGAGGGCGCGGACGAGTTTTAGATCGCTCGTCCCCGTCGGCATGCCAGCGGGGAGAAGCTGCAACTCCATGGGTACAGTTGCAGCAGTGTAAAGCTTCTGCTCACTACCATGTCAATACGTGTCGAGAAGCAGTCCCTGGCTGGGCGAAGTCTGATATCGGACTCCGCCCAGCCACGGACTTCCAGGCCCCTTATCTCCATTCAGAGACAACGTCAAAAGACCGGACCAACGCAGATGCCCCTTTCCTAGGGCCTATATTTAGGATCGACACTAATCGGAGGGGGTTAGGTTTAGCCTGGACACTGCATTTAAGAGCCTTATGTATGTAATAGGAACCAACTAAGCTTTCTTAAGCTTTGAATCTTCCCTGTTGAACTAATCCAGAGCGGGTAGGGGAACGAATGCCGCCAGTTTGAGCCGCCTTTCGAGGCCAAGTAGTCCATTTTGCAATGTTCTCAAACAATGAGAGGCTCTCAGCGCGCAGCCACGAAGCCAGCGCCAAACTCCATCAAAAGCGTCGTGCCTTATTTATTTATTTTTGCATAGAAATGCCCCTATGAAAAAGAAACAAACAAACACAAAACAGTCAACACAACGGCAGCTGAAACGAAAAAGTGTTAGTGCGTTTTCAGGTAGCCTATCAAAACTTTGCATTACGGACTTGACTGCATGGTATTTGATCATAATTGAAACCAACAGTCTTAATCAGTTACATTCTTGTGAAACTGTTTTGTACTTTCTCCAAATAGCTGATTGCCTTTTGAGATGTGGACTATAAATGACGTACAATATTACACCATTGATCCAATAAATTGTAATTCAAAAGAATATTAGGATGTGTGCATGACAGTACTCTGCACAAATTGTAAACTGCCACTGTAGCCTTGTCTGCAATTGCTTTACAATTTCAAACGAAAGGCTACTTGTGCCAGAAACTCCAAGTCTCTAACTGAGTCAAGAGCTACAGCCGGGCCACCTCCTAAATTGTAGGGGTATCTTATATAAATATTAGGCTGGCTAAAAAATAAGTTCGTTTTGGCGTACAAATCATCATAATTATTTCTTATTGTTTTCAATCTATGATTCTTTGTGGAAAAGTAGATCAAAGTTTCCTCTATCACATATCAAATAATCAGGATTTTCTAACGTCAGTAAAGACAGTTATGCCTCAACATGGCGAAATTTCCAAAAGCTCAATTCTTTGACTTACTAAGCTTCGTTCTCAAGCTGTAATGGATGTAAAGAACGCAGTTTAGTACTTGGATACAGAGGAGTTTTCCCCATTTAGTAAACAACAAAAAGAACTGTGATCTGCTGCTTTGAAAATGTTTCATTAAGAAAACCAAATTTCCATATTTTTGCGCATTATGAGAAAATTGCGCTTTCTCACTTCTTTGCGGATTTTTTTGCCGCGAAGATAAGTTTTACTCAAACAGAGTACATGCTCCAATACTCAGTGAAGTGCTCTTTTCAGAGACACCAAACATTGGACAAAAATTTGTCTACAGCATTTGTAAGAGCTGAAAAAGCGACCGAACTTAAAGTAGACTGTATGTCTCCTTTTTGTAAAACCTTGGCATGCTTGAAGATATTGTTCAACTGTTTTAAGCCGTGACAGGTTTTTAAAGGAACACTTTATTTACTGCCCGACGTTTCGGCTGAATGCCGTCTTCAGGGGCCTGAAAGCGAGTCAATCACTCTTTAATCAAACGATCTAGACCACCAGACACTTTCTCCAAACCGTACACTTGACTCATCTACTGTGACGCAGATAAGTTCTCAAGTTGAACAGCTTACCAAGTGTTCCTGGTGAGGAGCGTAAGGGTGTTAGCCTTTCTCACGGTCGCCCACAGCAGATGATGACAAAATGAGCGGTCCGAATAAGTGCGACACGCTTAAATAGTGTAGGCTACTCATAGCTCGCAAAATGGTAGAAACGGCTTCAGATCACTAGTGATAGACAAATGTTCGTTCTTGCTATTCATTTTAGGATTACGAGCAAGTATGAATGAAGCCTCTAACGCTTTTCGAGCAGCAATATGTTCTTCGACAGCCAGCAGCACTGGATTTCAAAATCATCTTCTCCATGGTCCTCTTTCCTGTGCTTTCCAAGAGGGCTTACGAGACTTTGTCTTCTCTTACTCGCCAGATGTTCGCTGACACGTACGTGAAGTGGTCGACTAGTTTCGCTTATGTAAATGGCATGGCATATTTTACATTCTAGCTGGTAAATCACTCCGCATTTCGAACAGTCTCCTGACCTCTCATCTGTGCAAACAACGCAGTTCTGCATTACGCATTGTCTGTCATACAATCTATTGCGGACCAGTTGCTTTTTGATGTTGTTTTATGTTCACTAAAACAACATCATCCGCCAATTGCGCTTGTATTAGACACTGCTTGAAAGCGTTGCTTATTCTATCAGACACGAACGGTAAGCATAGCGATATACGTGATCGAGTCTGACTGCTAGCGTTCGCGCATGTTCTCTTGCGAGGTTTGGACTGCAGTTGGTAATTATTCTTAGCAACTATCTCGTATGCCAGCTTCGTAGATTCCAATCTTTCAACTTCACCGCTGCAAACATCGCGCGCTGTTTTAAACATATTGCGAATAATCGCTCGTTTTACAGCAGATGGATGCGCAGATGTGGCATGCAGAATTATATTCTTAGAACTCTCCTTCCGATACCATTTGACGTGTGCTGCTCCGGTTTACAACATCACCTGCGTATTTAGATATGGTAGCCAGCCATCGTGTGGTCTCTGTCTTGTCAAGCTGATGTACCGCGATTGTTCATTGAGAATTTTAAAGCACTCATCCATTTCGGATTGAGTTGCAGTAGCAATGTAACAATCATCGATGTAACGGCAGTACATCAGGGGACATCGCAATAATACCGGCTCCTCTATTTTGCTTATGAAGCAAATAGCGAGCGCGGGCGCTAGTCTCTGTCCCATCGCTAGTCCTCTTAGTTGTGCATAATATTGTCCCGACCATTTGAAGACGTTGCATGCCAAGCATTTCTTGACCAAGGAGATGATGCGCGCTTTACTGAGCCCGTACGTTTCCATATTGATAATATGTGAATCAAGCAGCTCAGAGTGCGCTTGTAAGGCGTCATTATTGGACACTTAGTGTATAATGACGTAACATCAAATGACTCCATTACGCAATTTTGGTCAAAGTGCGTTTTGCGTAATTGATCAAGGAAGCGGCTTGTGTTCGGCAAATGGGCGGGGATCTTACATAAGAGTTGACTAACGATCTTGCTAAGGAACCACGAAATTCTGTCAGTTGGCCCACCTTTACAGCTGATTATTGGTCGAATTTTGCAATACGCAGCGGTCACATCTCGTGGATCAGTCAAGGCGAGTTTGTGTGTCTTTACGAGGCTATAAAAGATCAATTTTAAGCCTACTGAGAAACTTTTCGTCTAGTCCCGCTTGCTTTCCGATCATCATCCAGATGTGATTAAGTCGCTTGCTTTGAGAAAGGAATTCTTTTTCGGTTGAGCGACGATAAACTGTAGCATCGGATAGATGAAGTTCAGTTATGTTGCGATCGAGCGTTTGCGGCATGACAACGAACTCGCCTCCTTTGTCACTAACAGTGAGACGAATAGTGCCATTGGAAGTCAATTCACGCAGCTCTTTGAAACCCTGCCTTTGCGCATATGTTAAATTAGACTGCTTCATACCACGATGTTTGTTAAGAACATTCAAAATCCCTGCCGACAGTATGCGAAATTTAACATCCGCTTCATGACAAGGATCGATCTCTTTGTACAAGGATGATGGAGAAGGAATAGGAGGGAGTACCCTTTTACATAGGACAGAGGGAGGTTGCAAGTTGTTATCGTGCTTGGTTTTGGCGCGCAACTGATCTCTAAACCGCTGCAAGGATCCTAGAACTTTGCGATATACCATGGAGTTGACCGTTTGTGTAGGCGCGAAGGATGGTCCTAAGCTGAGTAGGTTTAGTGCGTTAGCAGATACATGAACATTGCCTATGACAGTGACCCTGGCCGTTTCATTAGTCGTATGTGGAGCTAAATGAGTAAAAGACCGTTGGTTCACTGGATGGCGTTCAACACTGAGTTGACTTAATTCATGTTCACTAGAGTACGTCAAATTTCTTACGGAGTTTGGATTATGCGTCAGATCGTATAGTCTCGCCGATCCGTCTTGACGCGCTCTCAATCCTCTTCCATATGTGTTCATTCAACAA